GGGACTTCAGCTCCCAGAATCCCAGGAGCTATTGGCCAACATGGGACTATTGGCCAACATAGCTGAGGCTTCTGGGAGCTGAAGTCCCTCGGCCCTTAAAGGGGAAAGCTTGCCTACCCCTGGTCTAGATAATTGTGTTTGATGTGATGGCTAGATCTTACATTATTCTTATTTTGTCAAGTTAATTTATGCTTTACAAAACTTGTTGGCTGTGGTTTACCAGTGGATGTCTGTATAGTTTCTGTTACTAAATAGACAATTTAGATTTTTTTAAATTGAAAAATAGCTCGCTTTGGGCCAGGGGCAGAACTGGGAAAGTTACATTACAGTTCCCAGAATTCCCCAGCATTTCTGATGTGAGATAATGGGAGTTGTAGTCCAAGAAATAATATGTCCCAGTTCTGAGCAAGATTTCAGTACCCAGACAGTTAGGGGCAAGATTCATCTGCCAAGCAGTGGCTAGAAAATACAAGAAGGGCAAGCATAGATTGGAAAACAGTATTAGAAGTCCCCAATAGCTGATTGCTTGGGGTAGAGGATTTGGTATCATCTTAATTTGCATTGAATCCTATTTTATGCTCCTTTGAGCTGATTTTTTTCCTTCTTTGCCACTCCATTGGAAGACTGAAGTGTTCCTGTTTTGGACTGTTCTGAGGTTAGCACATTGACAAGCTGCATAAAGAATATAAGTGAATGCATCATAAAATCATATACCTGGAAACCACCACAAGGGCCATCCAGTCCAACCCTCCTGCCACACAGGAATACACAATCAAAGCACCTCCAAAGAAAGAAACTCTACCACACTCAGAGGCAGCATATTCCATTGTTGAACAGCTCTTGCCATTGAGTTCTGTCTTCTCTTTCTTGCCTCTGTTAGACACACAGAGTAGTATGTTTACAGGAAGTGCTTGTTACATAGACAGTTTGCTCATTTTGATGTGGTAGATAATTTGACTAATAGTCTCACATGATTATGCTTACAAAATTGCAGACGAGCTCCGATGTGAGGGTCCAAGTCACTGCATTTTGAACCATTGACTAATCAAAGGATTAACTAATATATTCTGCTGTGTTCTCTTGATGATCATTAAACAAGCATACATCTGCCAGAACCCCTCCCACACAGACACAAACAAAAGAATGATCCATGTCCCGTGGATTTTTCACTATTATTTTTTTATTATAATTTTATCCAACCTGCCAAGAGGTCACTTGGTTCTATTTCCTTTCCTCCTTTTATCGTTGCAACAAAAGTCCAAAGCACACTGCAGAAATAATCCAGTTTGAGACCGCTTTAACTGCCCTGGCCCAGTGCTAGGGAATCCTGGGAATTGTAGTTTATTGTGCTACCAGAGCTCTCTTGATAGAGAACTCACAAACCTACAGTTCCCATAACCTATCACTGAGCCAGGGCAATAAAAACGGTCTCAAACTGGGTTATTTCTGTAGTGTGTTTTGGACCAATGTTGCAAGGTAGATTAGGGTGAGAGAAAACGTGGTTTCACCATGACCCAGTCAGCATCATAGAAAAACATAATCTGAACCTGGATTTTGCATTTCTGATCAACTGTAGAGTGGCTACATATGCAGTACCATAATGGGGGGGGGGGGGCAGAAAGAGGGGACAATTTGTAAAAAAATAAAATAAAATTGTATGCTCTGATTTTTAGAAGTAATTTTGAAATAATTACAGTACTGGAGAAGGCTGTAACCAGTGGACCTGTCTCTTGTCCACTCATTAATTCCTAACTGTCCCTTCTTTTGTTCTTTTATTTTTAAACCAGAATTGGACTGGACATCTTTTCAAACAGAGGGCTGTCATCTGTAAATTAAGATACAAGGACACCCACATTTTTAATGCCAACATATTAATGTTACCTCCATGCTGGCTCTGTAAGTAACTCAGTTTCTTTGTAACAGCTGGATGTTGATAGATTCCTTTCCTCCTTCTCTCTTTTAATTTCTCTGTATCATGTGTTTAAACCATATGTAAAGTATGCTTCGATGGTAGGGAAGTTAATTTTTTAAAAACTGTATGTCACAAATATGCAGGTATCAAATTTTGGCATTAGTGTCAGAGTCAAATGGTATGTTCTACGTTTAATGATTGTCACATGTTTTCTTCTTGCAGCTGATTAAAATAATTCAAGTTCAAGTTCCTTGTTTGCTTATCACAGCAGAACCAAATGCAAAGGTTGTGATAAAATGTACGGTACTTCTGGTAAGGACATGTTCTTGCCAGTGTCTTAGGAAGACTCTCAAAACTGTTTTGAAAGTAAGAAATTCCAAACTTTGGCAATTGTCCCATCCTCAATAGGACTGTGCTTCGTTTTGTTTCCTCTTAGTGCTATGTTGTTTAAAAAGTTTACAAAGCCAGGTAACTTCTGTTATGAAAGAAGCCTTTGAAAACAGCTCTTGGGGTTCATATGGATTTTAGCAAAACTTTTGCATATACTGGTGTTTCTGAGTCTACAGATAACATTAATTTCTTAAAAATATTCACTTATTTTAAATCTGAAATCTTCAATTATACTGCCAAAAGAACACACTTGTTTAGTAGTTTAATAAAGAATACTGAAGCTTTAACCCTTCTGTTTATGTATGTTTCCTTGACTAGGACAAAATGTACAGTTCTGTCAACTAAATTGGTGATTACATGCAAATTCTTTCTACAAGATACATCTTGAATATATGCTGTTCATAATTAAGTAAACACACTCCCACAGAATTATGCAGAAGAGCTGGTGAGAGAAAATGATCTTCATGAAAATTTAAAGATTTGAGCTTTGAGTTTTGCCAGGACTTCTGTAAACACTGCTATTTTTTACACCTTTGTAAAATATACAGTGTGTCAATGTTATGCTAGGTAATGGGGTATTTTAGGTTTTTATACATAAAGTGACTAATATTCCCCATAGAGGCGCCCGAATAGTGCGCATGCGCGTGTGATGCGATGCCGGGCACCATTTTGGCTTCCAAAATGGCGTCCGGCGGTGGGCGCATACGTGTGGTGTCATGCACGCATGCACACGACTCTGGACGCCATTTTGGAAGCCAAAATGGCGGTGGGAGCGGCGGCAGGCTGGGTCCAGCCCACGGGCCGTAGTTTGGGGATCCCTGCCTTAAGGTCTCTATAAGTTGGAAATGACTTGAAGGTACACAATGATAACAATACTTCCACACTAGCTAGCCCCAGCAAAACATATCAAATGACAATGACATGTGGCATAATATGTTGGAGAATATGGAATCACAGCAACATTTTCTGTAGTAGAGGAGTGCTGGTGGTGCAATAGTTAAATGCCTGTACTGCAGCCACACTCACAGACCCCAAGGTTGCGAGTTCAAGGGCTCAGGCTTGCATCCTTCTGAGGTTGCTAAAATGAGTACCCAGCTTGTTGGAGGCAATTAGCTTACAGTTGTAAACTGCTTAGAGACTGCATAGCGCAGTATGAAGTGGTATATAAATGAAGCTGCTATTGCTAGTACTGGCAGAGTCTTAATATGTGCCAGTGGTGTTTTTAAAGCAAATATTTTACAACAAGGTTTTGTTGAGGCTGAGAGTGTGTGACTTGCCCAGGGGCACCCATTGGGTTTCAAAGTCTAGGCAGGGTTGATAAGGTACCTAATGGGTTTTAATTGTTCTTCAATGCTATAACTTAGGGGTAAGCAACCTAAGGCCTGGGGGCCGCATGCGGCCCCCCCCC